CTTATGAACCCAGTGATCAGAGTAAGATTTAATAAATAATAATAATAATAATAATAATAATAATAATAATAATAATAAATTTTATTTATACCCCGCCCTCCCCAGCCAGAGCTGGGCTCAGGGCAGCTAACACCAATAAAATCACAGTAAAAACATAATAGGGGGGAAAGAGAGGGGAAAGGGGGGGGACAATTTAAAATACAGGTTAAAATGCAATTTAAAAGTAGCAGATAGATCAAGACCATAAGGGGAGGGAAACAGAAGGGTCAGACTGAGTCCAAACCAAAGGCCAGGCAGAATAGCTCTGTCTTGCAGGCCCTGTGGAAAGATGTCAAGTCCCGCAGGGCACTAGTCTCTTGTGACAGAGCGTTCCACCAAGTCGGGGCCAGTACTGAAAAGGCCCTGGCCCTAGTTGAGACCAATCTAACCACCTTGTGACCTGGGACCTCCAAAATTTAGACCTATGCATGGGATCTTAGGGGAGGAGTGGTACCTCTGGTGGGGGACATGTCATGCTCCTTCTGGGGGAGTTTGTCCTCCTTTGGTCCCCCACCCTGCACTCGGCTCTCACCTGTGGCTCCTGGAAGCTGTCCGCATGAGACAGCGGCTACATCCCCGGGAAACGGCTTTGACAGGCCAGCTCAACCCGGTGAGAGAAGCCTTTGGGTCTCAGAGCCAAGTTAGGGGCTTCGCTTCTCCTGCGTGCAAAAACAGGCTCTGGAGGATTAAGTGCAAGAGTGGGACCAAGGGTCAAGGAGGTTTCTCCCATGCTGTAGAGGGGGCAGATGGGGCTTGCCTGCCTGGAAAGAGAGCACTTCAAGGAGAAAGGAATCTCTGGTCCTAAACCTCTGATCCTTTGCAGGATATCTTCTTCTTCTTCTTTGGCGATCACTCATGTTGTTGTTGTTGTTTAGTCGTTTAGTTGTGTCCGACTCTTTGTGACCCCCTGGACCAGAGCACGCCAGGCACTCCTGTCTTCCACTGCCTCCCGCAGTTTGGTCAAACTCATGTTCGTAGCTTCGAGAACACTGTCCAACCATCTCGTCCTCTGTCGTCCCCTTCTCCTTGTGCCCTCCATCTTTCCCAATATCAGGGTCTTTTCCAGGGAGTCTTCTCTTCTCATGAGGTGGCCAAAGTATTGGAGCCTCAGCTTCAGGATCTGTCCTTCCAGTGAGCACTCAGGGCTGATTTCCTTCAGAATGGATAGGTTTGTTCTTCTTGCAGTCCATGGGACTCTCAAGAGTCTCCTCCAGCACCAATCACTCATAGATCATCTATGAGGCGATCACTCATAGATCTTCCAAAACAGGGTTTTAGCAGAGAGTCCGTAAGTGACCGTGGAGGCCAATTCTGGATCCACACGTCCTTCCACAGTGGGGACATTGGTTTCCGGGCGGGAGTTGATCACGGTGTGGATTTGCCAAGTGTGCCTTCCTCTTAGCATGTTTCTCCCTTGCGTCCTGAGTTTGAGTGTCTTCAAAACCCATGACCCCTTCGGAAAAGGCTGTTCTCCAATTGGAGCGCTCGCAGGCCAGTGTTTCCCAGTTGTCGGATATATTCAAGGAAAGAAAAGGCCGGGGAGTTAATCCTACACAAATCCAGAGCGGAGTCCCTAAGGCGGTTGGATGGCGCCTTGTACGTCTCCTTCCGGCAACACCTGCAGCCAAGCAGGTGCCAAATGTCTTGTTCTGCTTTCCTTTGGAGCCCATCAGGGAGGCTGAGAGGGGGGTCTTGCCCTCTGGTCAGCCCAGGATCTCCAGACGCATTGCCCAGGCTTGCGCCCCAGGGAGGTCACTTGACTTCACCCCTGGAAGCAAACTCCATTGTCTCTCGAGACAGACAAATGCCAACCACAACAGTGCAAGTATGCCCAGAGTCAGCTGTGCCAAGAATTTTCCAGAACATAGAAAGCTGCCTTCTGCTGAGTCAGACCATTGCAACATTTACCTCAGTGTTGTCTGCAAGGATGATAATAATAATAATAATAATAATAATAATAATAATAATAATAATAATTTATTTATACCCCACCTATCTGGCTGGTTTCCCCAGCCACTCTGGGCGGCTTCCAACAAAATATTAAAATATAGTAATGCACCAAACATTAAAAGCTTCCCTGAACAGGGCTGCCTTCAGATGTCTTCTAAAAGTCTGGTAGTTGTTTTTCTCTTTGACATCTGGTGGGAGGGCGTTCCACAGGGCGGGTGCCACCACCGAGAAGGCCCTCTGCCTGGTTCCCTGTAACTTGGCTTCTCGCAGGGAGGGAACCACCAGAAGGCCCTCGGCGTTGAACCTCAGTGTCCAGGTAGAACAATGGGGGTGGAGACACTCCTTCAGATATACTGGACTGAGGCCATTTAGGGCTTTAAAGGTCACTTTGAATTGTGCTCGGAAACGTACTGGAAGCATTTCTGAAAATGAAGCTCTTCCAGCCCTACCTGCTATCAGGATTTGAACCCAGGACATTTCAGATGCAAGGCAGTTGCTCTCCCACTAAGCAATGACCAACCACTACTGTGCAATGTAGTTCTCCATGAGATGGAAAGTGAAGGTCTGTGCTCTTTGGCCGGTCGAGACCTAAATATTCATAATTTGGAACTAAGCAGAATACCAAACCAACCTTGTTGGAGACTGTAAAATAGGAACATGATCTCCTGTTGGCATTCACACCCAGATGCATATGCATTTGTGAGAATGCCTGTACAGTCCAAAGCAGCCTTGAGTGCCCAGACATTGGCAGACTACAACTCCCATCACCCTTGACTTTTAGCTATGCCGGAAGGGGACAATGGGAGTTGTAGTCTGCCAATGGCTTCTTGGGAAAAAAGCAATGACAAAACTAGACAGCATCTTAAACAGCAGAGACATCACCTTGTTGACAAAGGTCTGCATAGTGAAAGCTCTGGTTTTCCCAGTAGTGATGTATGGAAGTGAGAGCTGGACCATAAAGAAGGCTGATCGCCGAAGAATTTGTGCTTTTGAATTCTGGTGCTGGAGGAGACTCTTGAGAGTCCCATGGACTGCAAGAAGATCAAACCTCTCCATTCTGAAGGAAATCAGCCCTGAGTGGTCACTGGAAGGACAGATCCTGAAGCTGAGGCTCCAATACTTTGGCCACCTCATGAGAAGAGAAGACTCCCTGGAAAAGACCCTGATGCTGGGAAAGATGGAGGGCACAAGGAGAAGGGGACGACAGAGGACGAGATGGTTGGATAGTGTTCTCGAAGCTACCAGCATGAGTTTGACCAAACTGCGGGAGGCAGTGGAAGACAGGAGTGCCTGGTGTGCTCTGGTCCAGGGGGTCACGAAGAGTCGGACACGACTAAACGACTAAACAACAACAGTCTACCAATGTCTGGGGGCCCAAAGGTGAAGGACTCTCGTCCAAGTCAGAGGCGGCCAATCTGTGGCGCTCGGGCAAACATCATGCGAGGGAGCGATGGAAAGAGGAAGGGGAAATGTGGCCCTAAGCTCAGAGCTCCGGCAAGAAAGATGGCTGCTTTCCTGTCAAACAAGGGGGGAGAGGTGGGGAGGGCTGATAGAAAGAGAGAGTGAGAAATGGGGTGTCACCAATGCAGAAGAGGGGTGCCTGCACCCACCTTTGGCTCTGGGTTCGACTGTCGCAGGCTGCAGCCCCACCCACTGGTGGCTGACAGCCCTGACAGTTTTCCTGCAAGGGGAATGTGGGGCATCTCGGCCCCAAGAGAAAAATGCGGCCCTCCAGGCCTCTCAGCCTGGCCCTTCCGACTCTCACCAGGCAAAAACCCTCACCATTTCTGCTATGTACACCCTGTATTTTTGCCCATGAGGGAAAGTGGCCCTCAGAAGAAGAAAAAAATGGCTTCTTCTCATCACACCCCCCCAAAAAAATATTGCTCCCCGCCCTGTGAATTCATTAGATCTAAATCAGCCTTCAGAAACAAGGCACCCGGGTCTAGCTTGGCTGGGGCTAATGGGAGTTGTAGTCCAAAGCATCTGCAGGAGGGCACCAGGTTGGCAAACGGCGGCCTAAATGGCGGTCAGTAAAGGGCTAAGGTTGCTAAGCAACCGCCGGCAATGGGTGGATAAGTGTCATTCCGCGCTTGAGTCACTAGGTGGCGCTGGACTTGGCTGCATCTGTGTGGAATCTGGGAGCGATTAACCCAAAGCAGTGAAAATAAGAAACTTCAGGGGAACACCGACCAAAACTGGCTCAGATTTGCATTAAATCTGCATATGCTAATTTATATGGGTAGAAAGAATTGCTGTGATTTAAACAGAAACGCAAGGCATTGTGGGGAAGAGCAGGTGATCTGTGTGTGACTGCTAGGTCTGTTTCATGGTGGGTGGGCAATGACAAGGTTCCCCTAATTAGGACTCCTTTAACAATGATAATTTTTTAATTTGAGCTGAATTGGGGCCCGGCAACCCCATCTAATCGAGGACACCTTGAAACAGAGGACTGTGCTCTGTAAAGAGGACACTTGTCTGCATTACTGCCAGAAAGTTCTTCCTGATGTCTAGTCAGAATCTCCTTTCTTGAAGCCCTGGGTTCGAGTCCTACCCTCCAGAGAGAAAACAAGCTTGAGATATCTGAAGATGACTAGCATATCTCCTAGGGACGCGGGTGGCACTGTGGTCTAAATCACAGAGCCTAGGACTTGCCGATCAGAAGGTCGGCGGTTTGAATCCCCGTGATGGGTGAGCTCCCGTTGCTTGGTCCCTGCTCCTGCCAACCCAGCAGTTCGAAAGCACGTCAAAGTGCAAAGAGATAAATAGGTACCGCTCCGGTGGAAAGGTAAACAGCATTTCCGTGCGCTGCCCTGGTTCGCCAGAAGCAGCTTAGTCATGCTGGCCACATGACCCAGGAAAACTGTCTGTGAACAAACGCCGGCTCCCTCGGCCAGTAAAGTGAGATGAGTGCCACAACCCCAGAGTCATCTGCAACTGGACTTAACAGTCAGGGGCCCTTTACCTTTACCTTTTATAATATCTCCTCTCAGTCTCCTCTTCTCCAGGCTAAACATACCCAACTCCTTCAACTGTTCCTCATCAGGCTTGGTTTCCTTCATCATCTTGGCTGCCCTCCTCTGCTTGTCCATCTGTGCCTTGTCCATCTCCTTCTCCCGCTGGGGTGCCCAGAACTGTTCTCAGGACTCCAAGCGGGGTCAGACCAAGGCAGAATAGAGCAGGAATATGACTTCCCTTGATCTGGACCCTTAATCCTGCACTTGATCTTGTAGATATGGTGTAAATCCGCCTCCTGTCCATCAAACACATGAAGTCCCTGATACGGAGAGCATTGGTCCATCAGTAGTCATGAGCGTCCTGGCAGGATTGGTCTGAAAAGCAGAGGGGGAAATGGGGAATTGCTGGAATCGGGCTCTAGATATCATAAATGAAACTCAGCACCTTACAAAAGCGAGCAAATGAAGAATCAGCTTGCTGGAAAACTTGGATAACATATTCATTCATTTGACTTTTGCTTTGATGCAACCTTATCTAACCTCTCCACAAACAGGTAATCTGGAAGCCACCCAAGGGACGATCTCTTGGCTGTAGGAACGACCAGCTGGGTCTCCTCAGAAGATCTGGCTTCAGTCTAAACCAGGTGGTTTAGTTACTTAAAAGGTAAAGGTAAAGGGAGCCCTGACCATTAGGTCCAGTCGTGGCCGACTCTGGGGTTGCGACGCTCATCTCGCTTTATTGGCTGAGGGAGCCGGTGTACAGCTTCTGGGTCATGTGGCCAGCAGGACTAAGCCGCTTCTGGCGAACCAGAGCAGAGCACGGAAACGCCGTTTACCTTCCCGCCGGAGAGGTACCTATTTATCTACTTGCACTTTGATGTGCTTTCGAACTGCTAGGTTGGCAGGAGCAGGGACTGAGCAACGGGAGCTCACCCCGTTGTGGGGATTCGAACCGCCAACCTTCTGATCGGCAAGTCCTAGGCTCTGTGGTTTAATCCACAGCGCCAACCGCGTCCCGCATTGGTTACTTAGAATCATAGAATTGTCAAGTTGGAAGGGACCCAACCCAACTCCCTGCAATGCAGGAATCTTTTGCCCAAGGTGGGTCTCGAACCCACAGCCCTGAGTCTCCCGCTCCACTGACTAAACTTTAAATATCGACCATGAAACTCTGATCTTGGCTGACCAGTTGCCCTGAACAGTTAGTGGCTGTCAACAGGCAGCTCCTAGCCCGACAAACAAGCTACATTTGTGCCTTCACCACAATTGTGCCCCATCTATTTGAATTACAACTATTATTTCTGAATTTGAATCTGTGCTTATGAACCATCATCTCCAACTTTTACGTAGATATGTACATAACCTGTTCAAAATTTGTACGCATATTAAAATCTTTTTTAAAAATGCTTTTATTCATACATATTTTTGCAATGCCCACCATATCTAGAGATCACTTTCCAAAACACACACACACACACACAGAGGACCCAGGCAACCAGCCAACAGCACCAATTTTAAGGGCTTTCATAGGCAGCTGTGATAGTGAAATTGGCTTAGATTCATTTGAGCAAATGCACCCGGTGGATTTGCTGTTTGGTGGAAGAAGTGGATCAGTTGGCTTGCAGAGTTGGGTCTCTGGTGAGATCCCTGATCTGTGAAATGGGGAAAATAAGACATGGTAATGAGTGATTGGCATTTAGGCTGATCCATTAGGACTCCTAATTGAATTGATGCTTTTGAATTCTGGTGCTGGAGGAGACTCTTGAGAGTCCCATGGACTGCAAGAAGATCAAACATATCCATTCTAAAGGGAATCAACCCTGAGTGCTTACTGGAAGGACAGATCGTGAAGCTGAGGCTCCAATACTTTGGCCACCTCATGAGAAGAGAAGACTCCCTGGAAAAGACCCTGATGTTGGGAAAGATGGAGGGCACAAGGAGAAGGGGACGACAGAGGATGAGATGGTTGGATAGTGTTCTCGAAGCTACAAACATGAGCCTGACCAAACTGCGGGAGGCAGTGGAAGACAGGAGTGTCTGGCGTGCTCTGGTCCAGGGGGTCACGAAGAGTCGGACACGACTAAACGACTAAACAACAACAACAACAAGCATTAGATAATCCCCAGGGCTAGCTGGCTGAATTGGTCCTACTTGGGCCAGCGAGGAGACCAGGGGAGAATTAGCTGTGGGGTCTCAGAGCGGGTGATCTTCATAAAAGGGGAGGGGGAGGGAAGAGAAGGGAAATAAAAGATCAGGCTGAATTCAAATTAAAGGCCAGGCGGAATAGCTCTGTCTTACAGGCCCGACGGAAGGAGGTTGAATCCTGCAGGGCCCTGGTCTCATGGGACAGAGCATTCCACCAGGTTGGAGCCACCACTGAGAAGGCCCTGGCCCTGGTGGAGGATAATCCTAGGGCCTGGGACCTCTAATTTTTGGGATTCCAATTTTTGTGGTTCTTTTATATTCCGCCTCTTTCTCAAAGCAGCTTGAGACGACTTACATGATTCTTCCTCTCCGCACAAACCCTGCAAGGTAGACTAGGCAGAGTGGTAGCGACTGCACCCTGCCCAAGGTCGCCCAGTGAGTTTCATGAGGCTGAGTGGGGATTTGAACCCAGGTCCTAGTCCGACACTCTAACCACTGCGCCACACTGCCTCTCGAGGAAGTGTGCTTAGGATCGTAGCCAGACAGGGGGTGCACGATACATTTCAAGCGGGGCATTGGACTGCTTTCAATAGTCACAGCTTCCCCCTGCCACCCCGGGAACTCTAGTTTGCTAAGGGTGCTGAGAGTTCAGACACCCCCTATTCCCTGCACAGAGGAACAATTCCCAGAGTGGGGATTAGCAATCGCTCTCTCTTCCCATTCAGAGGCACCAAAACGACAAGAAAAGCTCATTTCTCCTTGCCAAAAAATAAAAGACCGAACCCCACTGGTTGCGCGAGAGCTGGGGAAAGGCAGCCCGTGTGATTTCCACATTGACCAGCAGATGGCGCTCCCGCTCCATTCATCGCAAGCCAACGGCGCAAGCCTTCGGTTAGAGCAGGATGCTTCAGCAGACGGGCGCCACCACCCACGGCCACCAGGGGGCGCCCGGTGCCAGCACGCCCAGGTCTCCAGGGGAAGAGAGATGAATCATTTGCATCCCGTAGATGGGATGTGACCAGCTTTTGATCTACTGGATAAAAGGATAGGCTTTGATCCATGCCGGAGAGCTGGGTTCGAATGTCGCCTCTGCGCCGTGAGTCATGGTTTGGCTTGGGGACCAATGTGCGTTTACAGACAGATGTGAGCTTCCAAGCCTTCTTTAAAGTGAGTAATATTCTAGCTAGCATCTATGCTGGAGTGGTAAATGATACTTTTAAAAATATATTTATAAACTTTTTTTAAAAAGTATATTAAAAAGCAACAACGGGCATTGGGGGGTTGGTTCATCACGAAGGACGTCACAAGCACTACCCAATAGGTTGCTCCATCCCATGGCCCATGTCTGGGAGATTATGGGGTGCAGAGACACATTTTCCCAGCGATGGAACACAGCAATGACCACACAATAGATGTGGTTCTTTGGGGAATGGCGGCCAGACCTCCCAAAACTCCTGAGTAAATGCTACATGTTTCTTTATGCGCAGGAAGAACCCCGCAGAGCTGCCAGCTTTTCATCTGACAAAACACGGCACGCAGGTGCTTCTGAGCATACGCAGAGGGCACCCGTCCCGAGGTGTTTTCCTTTTTCAAAAGGAAAGTGCCATTTAGACAGGCGCCAAGAGGCAAGGATCTGAGCGTGTGCAAAGCGGCAAACCTCTCTGGCCGGAGGCGGTGCATAAAGGTTTCATGACTACACTGCTTTTGAACATGGACACGTGTTGGATTTGTACTGGAGAGGCAGATCTTCCTGATGCCCAATTTGGAGAGGAATGATGCCCACTGGGTGACCTTGGGCAAAGGCACCCTTTATTATCCGAACCTAGGGTTACCATCTTTCAAAAAGTAAAAAACCAGGACACCCCGAAAATCTGGACGTTGTTCTGAATGCGAAAGGCGACCAGTTCCTTGGAGAAACATAAATAAGAGAAGTGGCTTTGTTGTAGCATCTGGTTGGCAGCCGAAGAAACCAATAATGTGGAAAGAGGCATTTTTTGGGGGGGTTGGATATGGAGGAGGGGGGCAGGCACCAAGATACCCCAGAGGTGCAGAAGGAAGGGGACCAGGGCAAAGCGGCTAGATTTACGGCAGCCAACAAAGACCCCTGGGCCTTCCTGCTAAATGGCTTTGCCCCCCCCCCAATCCCTCCTCCAGATTTAAAGTGCATCTGTGTCCTTTGAATCTAGGGTGAAAGCCGAGGTGGTAAAATGTCACCAGCTGGGCCGTAAAACGCCCCACAAAAGCACCTTTTGTTTTCCAGACGGAGCTCTCTGGGGGCTGCACAAAGGAGGGAGGGGGCAGCCCCCCAGGACTGATCCTCCCCCTTCCCCCCAAGGGGGCCTGCCCTCCATGGGAGGAGAAGTGGAGTGGGAGGGGGGAGCTGCTGCAAAGACTCTTTGCTTCAAGGTTTGAACACTGCAACGGAGCATGGTGTGCAGCAAGGCATTTAACGGTGCCTCTGAGCATATGCAGAGTGCTCTCCCCTCTAACCCTCCCTCCAAGGAGTGCATGTAGCCTGTTCCCACACAGAGTTTGGAATTTAGGCAAAAGGGTTTGTTTAAAAAAACAAAAACAACCCAATGCAATTTAACATACACATGTTTATTACTTTTTGAGCATCCCAGAGTGGGAAGCCAATAAGACGTCAAAGCCAAGGAAAATATAAAACCATAACTGTAAGCAGAGCAGTGTTCAGAGGTTGTTTACATCATCTTCTTGACCCTCAGTGTTAGGAAATAAATAGGGAGCCGTGGGTCAGGATTTACATCAGATCAGAAGCCATCGGTATCGACAATACAAATAATCGGTTTTGGAAAAGGAAACAGGTCTGGGTTGGGCAGAAGGAGAATCGCACGTTGAGTCACTGGAGGTTTGCAAAACACATAAAAGTTGTAAATGGAAACCATAGTGCAAAACATTCGGGGGCGCCGGGTTGGGGAATGCTGCTTCAGTGGTCCTGGAAGGCGGTCTCTGCCTCTCTGCCCCACTCTTCCCTCCTTGCAGACAAGAGGCCTCTCCCCCTTTGCCCGTTTTAGGGACTCCGCTCCAGGCCCCGCCCACTGCCATCCTTGTCTCCGCCCCTTCGCCTCTACCAGGACCTTTTATGGCAATCCTTGGCCAGTTCCTGCTTGGGGAAACCCCTTCCCTGCCCCTCCTGCTTGGAGAGAGCACCCAAGGACTCAGGCAGGCAAGTTTCACCATCGCCTGCAGGGTGCAATGACATGCAGGTGGGGAGGGGAATATTGGTGGGAATACCCACTGGCCCATAGAGCCTACACTGGCTGGCAGCAGCGTTCTAGGGTGGAAAGGTTGGGGAACTGAAACCTTCTGCACGCAAATTGCAGTACATTTGCAGTGCTAAATAAACATCCTGTTTGACAAATAAATGGCGTCTGGGTTTTATTGGCTGTCTAGGCTGAATGTGGCGCTGTGGGTTAAAGCCTCAGCGCCTAGGACTTGCCGATCGAAAGGTCGGTGGTTTGAATCCCCGCGGCAGGGTGCGCTCCCGCCGTTCGGTCCCAGCGCCTGCCAACCTACAGTTCGAAAGCACCCTCGGGTGCAAGTAGATAAATAGGGACCGCTTACTAGCGGGAAGGTAAACGGCGTTCCGTGTGCTGCGCTGGCTCGCCAAATGCAGCTTGTCACGCTGGCCACGTGACCCGGAAGTGTCTCTGGACAGCGCTGGCCCCCAGCCTCTTAAGTGAGATGGGCGCACAACCCTAGAGTCTGTCAAGACTGGCCCATACCTTTACCTTTACCTTTACCTTTAGGCTGAATGCACAGGGTATTTGGGCATTGCACCACAATCATAGCTGTCAACTTACAGATTTGAAAATAAGAGACCAGCAGCATCGAAAATAAGGGACCAGCAGCCTTGAAAATAAGGGATTTTGGCTTAGCTTATACATGAACCCGCCACTGATGGAGCCATGCTGCTTTGGCTGCCACTGACTGTGTTTTGCAAGGGGTTGGACTAGATGATCCTAAGGGTCTACAACTCCCGCCAAAGAAGAGAGGCAGACAAAACTGATGAACGATGTTGAGATGGCAAAGCTTACAGGCCGAATTAGGAACCAGGAAGAGGACCTCTTTCATAAAGAATGGGGAAAGCTTATAATTTAGTTGAAAAGCTATTGGAAAGAGTTACATACATTGGTAGGATTGACAGAAAACTTGTAGTAAAAATTTGAACTATGGATGGAGAGATGATTTATAAAAATTAGGAAAGGGATGCAGAGGGGGAAATCACTACATTAAGATGCTGCACTGGTTGGAGGGGATGCTAAGCAGCACGTTGGGGCTGCCGCCGTCCTGGGGCGAGGAGTTCCATCGGCCCTTCCCCACCCAAGAGAGAGAGAGGGAGGGAGGGAAGGAGACTCTCGCCCATGCCGCCCGCGAGCCTGGCATGAGGCGGTGGCGGCGCCATGGCGGCCACTGAAGCACTGCCCTTCTGCGTCCCTCCCCATCCCCTCCTCTTCCTCCTCCCTCAGGCCGCCTCCTCAGCCGC